GATGAAATAAGATATCAACCTAGTTATGTGTAAGTGCATTGAATTCACTAATAAGGATTATAATTCAAATTTGAAGTTAACAAAGATAAAATACTATGTGACATTTATAAGAAACACTTTTGGTGAAATTAATTGTTAAAATTAAAGGACTAGACAAAATAGTGCCAGCAAATGCAATGAATACAAAGAGTGGAATTGGAAGAATATTGTGAGGTCAAGTGGAATGTATCATGGAGCACTGATCAGAGTCAGAGAGGAGCTAGGTAGTGAAACTGTCTTACCTCTAAGGATATGCTAGAACTAAGGAGCGTAAATGCACTGAACAATATAGAACCTGAGTTCTAATATTAAAGCTAAAGAGGCTGATGGAAAATATTGCTGTAGACACTTCAATGCTCATTCAGAAAGAATGCTACAAGAAAAAGCCACAGAAAGTTGGAAATTAAAACTAACAAATCAGTGTATTAGATAAATTTTCAAGTTTTAGTCATTGAATGATACTAATTTGTTTGTATATGTCCAGGGAATATTGACAAAAAGTGATCAGATTCTGGAAGATAAAGATAATTACATAGAAAGGCTATATTACTTGATAATAATGCTCAAGAATTAAAAGTGAATAATAAGGGGCTGGGGATTTAGCCCAGTTGGTAGAATGTTTGCCTAAAACCCTGGGTTTGATCTCCAGCACCACACACACACACACACACACACACACAGACAACAACAACAAACAAACAAACAAAAAAAAACAAATTGAATAATAAAATAATAGCAAAAAAATTCCCAAGATGTTACAAACAAACCCTGGGTTTGATACACACCACCACACACACACACACACACACACACACAGACAACAACAACAAACAAACAAACAAAAAAAAAACAAATTGAATAATAAAATAATAGCAAAAAAATAATAAAATGAGAAAACATACTTCTGGATATCTACTGAATTATAAGCAAAAAGAAATTGCATACAATTTAGAATGCAAATAAAAAGGAACATTTTATAATAAAAACTGAATCCAGATGAAATCTAAATTTTATTATTTAAAAAGTAAGACAAAATTTAAAGGAATGTAGTGCTTATTTTGGGAAATATTATAAAGAGCCAAATAAAGTTTTAAAAATCAACAAAATGAAATGATAAAAGTAAATTCAGCTGGGTGCAGAGGCACACGTCTGTAATCCCAGCTGTTCAGGAGGCTGAGACGGGAGGATAACAAGTTCAAAACCAGTCTCAGCAAAAAGTGAGGTGCTAAGCAACTCAGTAAGACCCTGTCTCTAAATAAAATACAAAATAAGACTGGGGATGTGGCTCAGTGGTCCGGTGCCCCTGAGTTTAAACCCCCGCTCCAAAAAAAAAAAAAGTAAATTCAAAGAAAAGGTAATGCAAAATAAAATAGAAGAGATAAATAAATGGCATAGAAAAGTAAATAAACAGAATGGGTAAATATATGAATTTTTTTATTAAACGCCAGAAGATAATACCAAGCTTTCCTAGGTGAGAAGCTCTGCTACACCTGAGGAAAATGGAGAGGATTTGGCTTTCACTTTGGTTTTCCTGTAATATAAATTCAGAAGTCATCACCTACAGTGCTGGGCTGCGGTTCAGTGACGAAGGCTTAGAGGTTTGGGACCCTGGTAGGGTCCCCAGTCCTGCAATACTAACTAACAAAAGTCGCCTCAAATGACGTATCTTCATCACAGGGAAGCTAAATGCTTTGGTAAAGCTTTTTTCCAAATATATGTGGTAACTGTCGAATATTTGTTTTTCAGAAAGATTAGCTTCTTTGTATTATTGTATGCAGAATTACTTGAAGACTGATATAGGATTTTAGTTCATTATTCTTTTAATAAGTTCTTGCATCCAGGTTGAAAGAAAGGAAAAGAAACGAGTCAAAACATAAACCAAAAGAAATTGCCATGTAATGAAAGCCCTATCCCAAAACCCTGCAATGGGGGCTTTGGAACTACAGTGAAATAGAGAATATTATCCTTCAGAAACATTCTCAACTTTTTCAGTCACTTTCAGACTGAAGTAGCTGAGTAACATGTAGAGAAATAATTTGAAAATATTGGGTAGATAGCATCATTTTGGAGATCAATATTGCCAATTTTAAGTGTTCATAAGGCTATAAAATAAAAATGTCAGTTGCTCTGTGTTTCAGTTAGAGTCCAGATGGGATATAGAGAGTCTACACACACACACACACAAAAAAAAAGTTAACTGAAGAGAATTGAATTAAGGAACTCTTTGTACAGGAATGGGCGAGATTAAGGGAACACAGTGAATGTTGAGATACACGGGGTGTAGCAATGACCAAAACAATAAAAGCCCTCACCACCCTCACACGTGAAGGAGAGTGGAGGGACCACTGGTACCCACAGAGTTGAGAAGCATGGAGGCAGCAGGAGAAGGACTCTCCTAACCTTCTTCTCTCCTGCCCCCTAGTTTCCTTTCTAGGCCTCCTACTGGCCAAACCCAAGCAGAGGCCAGAGAGCAGGGCATCGTTGCTAAGAGGATGGCCAGACAGTGAAATGCCAAGTGAAGCGGTCAATCAGCATGAATCTCTGCTAAATAGTAGAAGCATGCACCATGTGTGTCCTTGTCTGGAGGCATAGCAAGTAGATACGCAGGGGCTCCTTGACACTCTCCATCTAATTAGAGAAAGCGCATCAGATGCTGCTGGTCCCTTGTGATTATTCAATCAGTGGCTTCATTAAGCTCGAATAGTCATGAACTAGCTAATGCTAAATCAGGCCTGGCACCCTGCCCTTGAGAACCAGTCCCTTAATCCTAACTCAGAAGGGACTCAAACAATGCTAAATACGTCTAAATCAAGCCCGAAAAGAAAATGATAAAAGGGAAAGCAATCTCAATCCCTAAGCACATAGTACTTAATTTGTTGTGTTTAAAGCTTTTACAGTTCTTCTTTCTGAGGTTCGGTTAAAATAAATTTTGAAGCATAGTAACCCTGTCTTCTTGACCCTGAGGCAAGTGCTCTGCCATCCTGACTTTATGGGGTCGTACACCTATAAAGGTTTTGCTGTACCTTAGTGTTTTTTAAAAATGCCATCCTAACAGAATGTAAATCGTGTATACAGCCGTTGGCTTCCAACACTTTTTCATGACTGCCGGCTGCGTAATTTCAATTCTAATTCTAAATATGTGTCACCGAGTCACTAGGAGAATGTTTTCAGAAATTGCAGTTGTTTTACTGAAACAAAACAAAGCCCACACATCAGCAACAAAGACAATTTACTGGCAGAACTTACACCCATCAGCTTCTCACATAATGCACAGGTTGGCCTCACCTGACACGGACCAAATAATTTATTTAAATTCAGAGATAAGCATGATTGCATTTTGACCAATAATTAACACATGATTATCATCAGTCAAAAATCAGAAATACAGAAAAATCAGAAATATGAAGAACAGCTTGGGAAAAAGGATTTACATATTTAGCCAGAAATGTGTTTAATATTATATTTCAAATGCTAATTATTTCTGTCTATGGCATATTAATAAATTGAAGTTCTACCATATTTTAGATAATTTTATCATTCAACAGGAAGAAAATCTTGGAAGCTTACATGTTCTAAACATTATGATAAAAACCTACATTGTTTTGATTTTTAAACCAGCATTTATTTTTAAATCAGGAATCAATTATATAGGTTATCATTTGAGCAGGTGGAATCCAAATAGAGTAATCATATGTAATTTGGTAGAAGCAAATATATTATTCACT